AGTGAGTGATTCTCGCAGTATTTAAAAGATGCTGCTGGGAATTGTGCTGTCAGCACTCCAAGAACAACAAGGAAAGCCAAAAATAACTGTTTACTTTCAGTAATGACAGCACACAGGTCTCCCCTGGGGTGGGCTCTGCACTTGGACCCTGGAGCAAACCCACGGGTGCCTGAACCCCAGAGCATCAAAGGGATGCGGGGTCAGCCGAGCGAAGTCATCCCACCGGGACAGGCCCTGCCTCACCCTGGAGGCCATTGCTCTGCATCTCAAGTGTTCACATGTTTGGTTTCCTCCTTGTTCCCATTCCCACCCTGGGAGGGTGAAGGAGGACAAAGATGTCTCCCACTGTAAATCCCGCAGACAGACCACCCTGGCTGAGCATTAGGTGGGAACTGGCAAGATGGTGGTGGCTCATGTACCCCCTGTGGTGTGTCCCTGGGAGGTGGCAAGGGGGCTCCTGACTAGCCTTGCTCCCCATGCCTACAAGGCTGGATTAACCTGTCTGTCTTCCTCTGCAGTTCCTGAGCTACCTGGGTGCCTGTGATCGGCTGCTGAAGCAGGGCTATGAGGAAGGGCAGGTGGAGGAAGCCATGGAAATGTTCCAGTACTCGGAGAAAAAGGTCAGAATGGAATGGCACAGCCCAGCCCTTTGTGCTGTGTCCTCCAGGCTCTCTATTTCAGTGGGCTGCATGCTTCCCTCTGCCTCCACAGGCCCTCCTGCAGCCTCATGGAGGGCCAGATCTCTAGGGCAGTGTCACCATAAGGACCACTTGGGGAGGACACCTGCTCCTTCACTCCTCTCTGCCCTTCTTCTCACCCTGTTGTGCGGCACGATGCTCACTCAGCCTTTGTTTGGGAATCCCGTCCCGAGCCCACCAACACTCACACTGTCTCCTGCTCTGCCAGCTCTCCCTTCTAGCCCCAGGGAGGAGAACCATGGAGAACTGGGAATTTGTCTCCATCAGTCTCCCCCTGGGGGTAATGGAGAGCCTGGGAAGGTAGAACTGCATGAAATCCAGGCTGGCAGCATTTACCAGGATGCTGATGCCTGTAGGATTGCCATATCACTACTGCTTAGGGCAGTGACGGTGGGAGGGCGCCTGGGTCTGAGTGTCAGGGAAGGGTTTATTTATTAAGGACACAGCTCTGGGTGATGTTGTGGTGCTGGGGCCCAGCCTGAGCAAAGTAGTGGAGCAGGACAAATGAATTTCAGCTGTGCTCACTGCGATTCCCTGCTCTCTTCATAATGGCAAACACTGCATGGAATTGATATAAACAGTATAAGGAATAGTGAAGCTAGAGGCTGGCTTTATTAAATATTTCTTATTTAAGAAGTTTCAATGCTGCCAGGGATATGTGTGCCCCCAATCTGCTGTCACGGTGGTACAGCTCAGCCAGATCTTCTGAGTGCAGCCTTGTCCCCCAGCACTGCTTTTTCTGCAACTACACAATATATCCATCCATGATAACATCCTTCTTCTCTCCTCCTTCTTCCTCCAGGCAGCTGAATTCTTACATCTGTTGGCTCAGTTTAATGATATGGGCTTCCAGCAAAATGAAATCAAGGAAGTTCTTTTGCTTTGTGGGAATCAGAGGGAGAGGGCGCTGGAAGAGCTTGTGATGAAAAGCCACTGAGCAGCACCATGCAGCAGTTGCAGCTTCTCCTCTCCACACCAGACCAGAAGGACCCAGATGATTCTCCTGCTCCATCCCCACCCCTGGAAGCACCAGACACACAACTTCAAAGCTCTGCCTTGGTGTCTCATTTTATGGACATGGATCATAAGAGTGTTTGTCATGCAGGCACTGACTGCATAGCAGGAATGTTTATCTCCTCACCCACACGTCCCCACCCTTGATCATCTCAGCTGTTCAGATTAGATGAAAGAAGATCCAAACTGCCTTTGGCTTAGATTTTTGCAAAACACAAACCAAACCAGTGTTGTCCCTCCACCTGGGGTGATGAGTGTCATGTTTTCAGCTACAATCAAGTGGGGATTCTTAAAAGATTACATAATCAACAGAATAAATTGTTTTCCTAAAAACTGAAGGCTCCTGCAGGAACATGTGTTGGTCTCAGCTTAGGAAGAGTTCAGCTGACTTAGTCATGGTTGAATATTGTAATTGAAATCCACTTTGATCACATTAGCTTCTCCTTTTAAACCAGAAATGTAAGGAAAATACATAGTTCCATGTGGATAAAGAAAGAAAACAAGCTGCCCTTGCTCTGAAATACATGAGGTTTATCCAGTGCAATGAAAAATGGTGGAGGCAAAGGTTTGTCCTCAAGCAACTTCATGAGATCAGAACAGAGAGATGGGGAACTGCTCACTGCCCTCATGCTCTGTCCAAATAAGGAAAATTCAGGGGATGCTTCCCTAAACTGTGGAGACAGTGGTTCCAAATGAAGTGGAGCATGAATGTCAGCATCAGGAACATCTGGATGCCCAAGGGAATTTCTGTATATAACTGAAGGACAGAGAATGGGAGATTCAGATCACTGTACAGGATGTGTGTCTTGGCTTGGCAGTGGAACAGTGGACAGTGTTTTCACATAAAGTATGTTATTTTCCTGTGAATTAGAAACAGATGTAATTTCTTTGAGTAAAGATGCTTGGGGGTTCTTCTGCAACATGTTTGTCTTTTTCTGTCAGGACGCCAACTGGCACAATCCAGCAGAGAAAATCCTTATTGTATCCGTACCATTTTCCATTGTACCCTTCCAAACAATCTCCCAGTGCAATGTGCTGCCATCAAGGTAAAACACTATGTCCATTCTCCCTGCATCTCCAGGTGGGTGCCAGACAGCAACAGGAAGGTACAGCTCTGCATGGCTGCCTTCATTCTTGCCTGGATGCAACAAGGAAACTTGGCATCCAGGTTTTGGGGGAGTTGACCCATCCATCCCCAAGGATGCTTTGTTCCTGCTCTTCTCTAATGGCACTGAAACAGAAAATGTGGCACCCTCTATGTCCTAGGGAGATATTCCTGGGGAGCTCACAGGCTCTTTTTGGAACTCCCAGCCCTGTTTTTCCTCTTGCTTTCCCTTGGTTATACAAGCTTTTATTTTTGATACGGCCCATATAAGGCAAGTCCATCTACAGACAGCTTTTCCTTACATTCCCCCTTGCCAAGATGATGTCACCTTAAAAACGAGACTTGCAGAAGGTTAAGCTGTGATTAGGCAGATCGTGTCGCCTCGAACTGTGATCTTTGGCGGAGCGAGCACCGTGAGCATGGAAAGGGGAAGATAAGGGTGCTGTGCTGGTGCCAGTGGTGCTGAATGCTGGAGCAAAACACACTGGCAAAGGCTGAGCAGCTTCTCACCCTCCTTAGTGGTTTGATTAGTCCTGCATCTTGGATTGTTTCTTGCAGAGGTAAGAAATGTATCTTTTTTCCTCCCTTTGCGCATAAAATTATCTTGTGTTACTTTCTGGATCACAGTTTAGATTGATGGATGCAACAAATGGCTCTTGAGAGCATCCATGCCATACTCAGCTGCCTGCCAAGACTCAGACTTTCCCTCAAGTGCTACACTTAAAATCTTAAAACCTTTTGCATTTTGTTGACAAATATCTTTGTAAACCCCTGAACTGTCAAGAAGCAGCATGTGGAGGTGGGGAGGAGGTTGTATCACTTGGTGTCAGAGCTGGAGGAAAGGAGTGAGCCTGCCAAGTTCTGTGGTCTAGGGTTGGCCACAGGAGCCCAACATAAATATTTTAGTAACAGAATTATTTTAACTTCATTTTAATGGATGTTTAAGCTGTTTGTTCAGCTTAAAATTGTTTTAAAGGAACATGTTTCCATGTGCTGCTCTCAGGAGAAGACAACGTGAAATGTTAATTCACAGAATTCTGTGAATTCTGTGAAATGTTAATTGGCTTTGTCTGGGAAGGGGACAATGATTTGATCTGATGGGTTGCTCTGCAGTGCTGCTCAGCTCCCAGTGCCCACAGTGCAGAGCTGGGACAAGTCTGTTGGTGTTCCCTGCCTTCCCTGTGCCACTGCCAGACCTGCGGCTCCACCGGCAGCAGTCCTCTCGGGGGTGACATTGGGGTGGTGGCCTGGCCCAGTGGCAGAGAGCAAATGGGGACAAGGCGCATCCAGTGGTTTTCCATCTGGCTGTGGTTGCAAGCTGGGGTTTTCTGGTTTGTTTTGGTTTGCAGTTGTGTTGAGTGGGTTTATTCTCAAATGCGGGAACTGTTTTGAAAATGCTGAGAACTTGGCGGGGATCAGCAGCGGAGATATTTGAGGCATCCCAGCTGGTATCCCTTCCGCTCCTCCCGGCATGGACAGCACAGGCAGCCCAAAGCTTGCCCCATGGATGGGAAACCAGCTGAGCCAGGATCTGGGTTTGCTGCTGCCCTGGTCCCTGTGGTCACAAAGGGGAGCTCTGTGCTACCCATCTGTCCCCAGAGCTGGTGTTGAGGGCTGTGAGCCTTCAACACCAGGTAGTGGGATCTGATGGAACAGCTCCTCTGCCTGTGGAGCTATGCAAGCCTGGTATCACCATGTAATAGCTCCCTCATTCCCTTTTGGCACTCTCTGTATTTCCAAGCTTTGCCATGTCCTCAAAACACCCTGACTTGGCTCAAGCAAGTCTCTGGTGAGAGCCAGTACTTGCCACCCTGTTGGGTCTGTGTTGGGGCCTGGAGTGGGGGTGATTGATGGTTCTCAGGTCCCAGAAAACCCTTGGCACATTAAGCACCTGATGCCCAGGAGCTGCTTTCCTTTACTCCCCATCTCCCCTCCTCCTCCCAAGACCCCACTGCAGCCACAGAGAATTCCCAGGGGAGTGCGGGGCTTTGTGGGAACTGCACTCCCACGTAAGGCTCTGAAACAGCCACAGCTGAAAAAGCATTCAGGGGCAGAAGCGAGTCCTGACACAGATCCCTGTTAGGAGGTATTTTCCTTCAGAAGCATGGGAGGAAAAAACCCCAAACTCAAGAGTAAATTAAAAACACAGTAATGAGAAGCTTTTCTATAGCTTTCCTTTTAATTCCAGCCTGTAATGAATGATTTCCCATCAAAGCAGAGAGGAGGTGGAATGCTGCACACCCTCAGAGTGCAGTCAGAATAAATAAATCATGTTTGCATCTCTATGGTATCTGTCCTCTGCAGAAGCCACAATCCTGAACACAGCTGGCTTGTGAGCTCGTGGCTAACAGGACTTTGTGCCCGTCAGGGCAGGAAGAGGCAGACAGCAGCTGCCCTTTGGGAGGGTCTGATGTCACCTCCAAGGTCCAACATGATGCGTCCCTGGACCTGAGCGCAGCTCCGTGGAGGAGGAGAGGAGCCCAGGGGAGCAGCGAGTGCAGAGCTGAGGCCATGTGCAAGGAGAGCATCCTGACATGGGATGGGGGACCAGCTACGTCGCGATGTCATGGTCACGTCTCGGCAGCCTCAGGAGGAAGGTCTGCAGGGAGCCGCTCCGTGGGAAACCTGCCCGCTCCTTCTTCTGCTTCCAGGTCTCCTCTTCCACGGAGTAGAGGAGCGTCAGCATCTTGTTGACGGTGTAGATGGTGTCACCCCTGACGACGGCGGTGAAGAGAGCTCCCTTGCTGTTCATGAACTGCCCAGGCAGGGCACTCCACTGCCGGGACGTCAGGTTGAAGCAGTCGATGACACAACGCAAGAAGTCGTCGTAGGGGCCGTTGCGCATGACGTAGAGGTTGTCACGATGGGCCACCATGCAGTGCCCGTAGCTCTGGTGCCGCTTGAGCTCGGTGACGGGAAGCCACGCGTCTTGCTGGGTCTCGTACTCGTAGATGACAGTGGTGTCCAGTGGCTGCCACAGGCAAACGAAGATCTGCCCCAAGGCCTGGGCACAGGGCGCTGCCGTGCTCGGTTGCGGCAGGTCAGAGACGAACGTCCAGGTGCTGGAGGCCAGGTCGTACCTCTCCACGGACTTGAGCGAGATCTTCTCGTACTCACCACCGATGGCATAGAGGTAGCCCTCGTGGCCCACCAGCCTGACATCGTAGCGCAGCTGGTGGGGGCTGGGGAACTGGCTCCAGGCGTTGGCATCAGCATCGTAGCAGAAGCTGCTCTCCACCACCTGCTTGTTGGCCCCATAGACACCACCCACGATGTAGATCTTATTATCCATGGTTGCCATGCCGGCTAGGAATGTGCTGGCGCTCAGCGGAAGGCAGGAGAGGGTCCTCCATGTGTTGGTGTCCTCGTCCAGGTAGCAGATGGTCCTGGAGAGGTCCTCCAAGAACTCGAAGGTGGGTGTGTGGGCTCCCACTGCCACAAAGGTGCTGGGTAGGAGGGCTTCCACATAGGCCAGCAGGTCATCGGAGAGGCAGTCCAGGTACTCCTCCAGCTCAGCGTAGCTGTCCCTGATGTAGAGTGCGGCGCAGTGGAAGAGATCCAGGAGGCCGAATATGGCAGCGGCTTGGTACAACAGGATGCAGTTGTCAGAGTTGATGGAGTGGATCAAGTACTTGGCCAAGGGCTTCACCTGCAGGAAGGCAGCACATTCCACTGCCTGGAAGGTCTCCTCGCTGCCAAGGATGGGCCTCTCGCCCGCCAGCACCCGCAGCATGGCGAGGAACCCGGCTGCGCTCAGCTCCCCCAGCCCGATCTCCTCCTGCGTGCTCTCCCTCATGCCCGAGCGGAAGAGGGCACGGAAGTACTCACTGCTCTCCACCAGCAAGGACTTCTCCACTGAGAATGACTGCTCCTCCACCCGGATACGCACCCGCTCCGGGGGTCCTGCCTGGGAACCTTCCTCCTCTGGGGTCATCCTCTCCTGGGACCTCAGCGGCTCTCAGGGGTGGGGGAGCCCCTCTGTGCCGTGCCCCTGCACAGCCCCCTCCGGCCTTCTCCACCCTTTGATGCCTTTGCTGCACTGCCCGGCGGCCTTGTAATATAAATACCTTGGGCTAAAGATAGCTGAGCTCGTGACCGGGGCCCTTCAAAGGCATCCACCAGGCTCAGCTGCCCCCCCAAACTCAGGCAGGTTTCCAGTGTCACCAGCCAGCACTGGGCACGGCAGAGGTGCCTGGATCATTCCATGGAGTATGCCCAGCCACTCAGGAGAAACCAGGTTTTGCTCTCTCTGCTCTCAGGCATCCTCCTTGTCATGCCCTACGGAACAGTCCCCAACCTGGAGAGGGCAACGCACTTGCATGGCTGGGAAGAACATCTGGCCACACTATTTTTTTCCCTTTAAAACGTGGAGTTTACAGCCCAGGGAGGTAAACAACATCAGCAAATCTCATTGCCACCCAGCTCAGCCATGGAAAAGGGGCTTGGATGTTCCTCAAGTGTTGCCATGGGCAGGGAGAGACCTTCCTTTGTGACCCTCTCCATGGCAGCAGCATCTGCAATATCCATCCCAGCTAAAAGGAGCCATAAGCCAGCCTGTGCTTCACCTGGGCATCTCATAGTGAGAAAAAGGAAATGCAGCAGCCTCTTCTCACCATAAAACTTCCCCTCTGGCATCAGGGCTTGCCCAGCTCCCCATAATACCTGGCTGTGGGAAGAGATAAACCCCTGTTTACTGACACAGAGCTTGACAGTGCGGAAAAGTGTTATTTGTGGCACATCACTTGTTTGTGTGCTAATCACAGGTTTTTCTGGCTAGAAATCCCATTTCAGCTCCACCGTGGGGTGCCAAGGAAGGCTGACAACAGGGCTCACTTGGGGGCTCCTTCCTGGATCTCCCCATCACTACCTGTGATTAGTTTGCAGCTGGTGTTTTGTTTTGATGAATAATTTAACCTGAGCAGCTCATCCTGTTGAAGGTCTATTTTTTGCTCCCTCCTTAACCCCTTCATCCCAGCAGCTGGGAATTTTTCAGGCAGTGCATGATGGCAAAGCTGTTGTCTCAGGATCGTGGCCACAGCAGGTTCACCCAAAAATCCGAGGGGAGAATGGAAAAGTTTTGCACTTGCACCACTGTCATTGATTCTCATGGATACTCAGCTTAAAATACCCTGTTTAGTTCTAATTGCTTTTAAGCATCCTAGACCTGTGACCAAAGGGGGTCTAGGGTAAAAGGTCCTCAGAGGAGCTCTGCTTCCCGCAGGGGAGTTATCCCTGTGATCCCCATCCTCCCCATGCCTGGGGCTTGCAGGGACTTCCACACTCCCAGACTATTTTGGGAGGGTTTAAAAATATCCTGCCTGTATTAACGGGCAATATTCCCAAGGGCGCAGCAGCCCCGCATGGCCACGGCGCAGCCTTGGTCCCCCAGCCTCGGCTGTGCTCCCCCCGCAGTCCCTCGGGGCCGGTCCAGGGGCCGTATCCTGTGGTCCCGGGCATCGAGCCCTATCCCAAATGGCTGTGATCACCATGGCAACGCTGACTTCAGCCTCCGCCACCTACTCAGGCTCAGAGCCACTGGGTGCCGGCTGATGGATTGGTACGGGCACCGGTGAGTACTCCCCGGGCTCCCTCTTCCTTTTGGGACCGAGGCTTTTGGGTGGCAAAAGGGCATTTCTCTGCCTCGAAAACCTCTGCCGGCAGCAAAGGTGTCTGTGCTTTAACTGCGTCCGAAGGAGCCGGGCAGGTGGTGCTCAGGGTGGCTCACGGGCAGCTCCGGGTGCTGCTCCCGCTGCCGGAGCTGTGATGAGTTCGCCGGCCTCAGCCGGAACAGAGGGACCAGGCTTGGGCTTGCCGGGGGCACGGCGAGGAGCTGAGGGCTCACGAAGGTGCCGGGACACGGCGAGGTGGCCCCAAGCCCGGCCCGGCAGGTCTCGGGCCCGGGGGTCCCTGCCCGAAGCCGGGGCAGCTCGGGGTGCCGGCGTGTGCTCTGCCGCGGGGACTGTCCTCGGGGTGGCCGGGGCAGCGTGTCCAGCCCCGCGGCGTGGCAGCTTTCCTTACAAGGAGTTTGGCTGGAGCCCGAGCAGCGGGAGCCGCGCTCGCCTCCGCCTGCCTCATTCATCGCAGCCCCGGCCGTGCAGGGGCCGCTGCTGCCCCGGCCCCGCGCTCTCGGAGAACCCCGCGTCCCCTCCGGCCGTGGGTTTTAAGGTGGGAGGCTGCGATTCTCTTCTCTTTCTGTGGTGTGATGGGTGGGCAGAGGGCTGGAGGGTTCTTTTCTTTCGGTGGGGTGCTGGCCACCACCGTGGGATGAGGATGCCAGCCAGCCTCAGGATGCGGATGGAAGAGAGGGGATCTCCCACCCTGGTGCTGCTGAGCCCTTCTCTCCCCCGGGCTAGGGCAGTGAGCAGGTCCCCCCATCCGACATGGCAGCGGGTGCTCCATGTCCCCCGGCTCTCTCCCGCAGGACCGAGGATGTCCTCGATGTTCGGCAAACCCCGAGCCAGCAGCGAGCGGCCGCCCCAGAGTCCCCTCCCCGAGTGCAACGTGGCCATCCTGGGGTGCAGAGGGGCCGGCAAGTCAGGTGAGACGGGCAGGGCATCGGGGAGCTGCTGGGTGCAGTCAGGGGACACCTGCCTCACTGCCTCTTTCACCTCCTGCAGCTCTGACCGTGAAGTTTCTAACCAAGAGGTTCATCAGTGAATATGATCCCAACTTGGGTAAGGCGGTTCTTATCCCATGGAGCATCCTTCCCATCTCCCACGTTTCCCATGAATGTGGCATGTAAGGGGAAAGAAAAAACAACCCACCCAAATTATATAAAAAACAACAAGAAGGGCTGGATTTGACCCAAAACCATCTGCAAAATCAGAGGTGAAAGCAGTGCCCTCTTTGGGGGCACTTCCCATGGGAACGTTGTCTCCTCACATTGCCCCCGAAAAACCAAAAGCTGAATTCTTGAGGCTCTCTGAGGAGCATCTCATGTCTGTTGGGCAGGGAAAAGGCTGAGGAAATGAGGATGGGTGCACAGCAGGCGACCCTGGGGCTGAGTTTTGCAGTGAGCAGTTCTGGGCATATTTTTTCCACTCATTTGAGTAATTAATAACTGTTTTCCTAGGCCTGACTCCAGGCTGTGGGGAAGAACCATAAATGATTTATCAGGGACATTAAGGAGTTATGGACCTTGTCCAAGAACCAACTCCAGCCCCTAATAATTCAGTGACTCTTAGAAAAAAGGATAAATCCTTTCTTCCTCAGATATTTTTGGGAATGTGGTTTCATCTTCCCACGTCAAAACCTTTCCGAAACACATCTGTTAAAAGCTGGCCCAAAGAAAGCATCTTTCTCCTGGGGGAATGGCTCAACGGCTCTCCCTGCCTGCCCTCCTCCCAAAAGAAAGGACTGCTCCTCTTGCCTGATTTATTGGGAAACAGTCCCATGTCAAGCCCCCAGCTTGTTTTATCTCATCAGGCCATGGCTTTTAGATAAGGGCCGAGCCCTGGGTGCAGTGATTGTTGTGCCAAGCTCCTTCCCCTCCCTCCCTCTCCTGTGGGAGCCCACGCTTGCAGCACGTGGGGAGGAATAACTGCTCCTAGCCCAGCAACATCACCACCAGTCCCCCAAAATAATGTTATCTCAGGAAGGAGTAAGGTGGGAGGAATTGGTAGAGGATGTTCCTCATCAGGGCTGAAATTTTTCCACGGTGTCCCAAGCATCCTGGGCTTTGCTTGGCTTTGAAAAAGACAGGATGTGCCAGCCCATCCTCACAACCACCCTTCTTCTTGCAGAGGACACCTACTCCTCGGAGGAGCTGGTGGACCAGCAGCCTGTGCTCTTGAAGGTGATGGACACTGCTGACCAGGTGAGGCACTGGGGGGCGTGGTGACCAGCTGGACCACGGCTGGACCACGGCTGGACCGCAGCTCAGCCACTCCTCCAACCCCCAGGATGGCCCTGGGAACTGCGAGCGCTACCTGTGCTGGGCCAGCGCCTTCCTGGTTGTCTACAGCATCGACAACAGGAAAAGCTTCGAGGGCTGCCAGCGCTACCTCGAGGTGCTCGCCCTGCACGCGCGGGGCTGCCAGCGCCGCTGCCCCGTGCTCCTGCTGGGAAACAAGCTGGACATGGAGCAGTACAGGTACCAGGCACGCGGTAAGGCTGCCTGCTCCCCGTGGGAGAGAGCTCACAGATCCCCATCCCTCCTGCTGGGATGCAAAACCCAAATCTGATTTCTTCACGGGTATTTCCACCCACATTAGTATTTGCAACATCCTCCCACATCCCCGAAGTTTCTGCTCTCCTGCCTGAGGGCTGATGTGTTTATTTTGAGCCCGTTGGTATTTTCAGTAGGATGTTTTTTGGCTGAGTGGTGAGGCAGCGTCACCATCCCTGGCAGGGCTTGAGCCGGAGGAGCCCCTCTGGACGTGCCCTTCCTTTCCCTGGAGCCCTCTAGTTCCAGCCCCACTGCCAGGACTGGATGTGCCCAATATGTTTTTCTGGCCTTTTGTGCTGCTCTGTGGTCCCACGGGCCCCTGAGTCACGTGCGTTGCTGGAACCCTTGTGCTCCCAGGATAGAGGTATCCCCCTCCCCACAGCAAGGACCTGCCCCATCTCCTCCTCCCTGCTTCCCAGTGCACTGTCATCACACCCACCCCTGGGTTCCTGGAACACATCCCTAGCAGGGGAAGCTGTGTGATTCCCAAGGAACACAAAGAGACCATTACTCTGGGATTTTGGTAAAGGCAAAACTCTTTGGACTCATGTACCTGCTTGTCCTAGGGCAGGGATGGGCAGGTGCTACCTCGGTGCTCTTTGGGAAGGAGGCGTGGGATGCAGGATCTGTTACCTGCACCTTTTTTGGGTGGCTGCTGTGCCCCAGGGGTTCCTGCACCCATCCCCTCTGCTCTCACCAGGCAGGTGCTCTCAGCAGAAGGGATGTCCCTGGCCAGCAGGTTCGGGTGCCTCTTCCACGAGGTGTCGGCATGCCAGGACTTCGCTCGGGTGCAGCACGTCTTCCACGAGGCCGTGCGGGAGGTGCGGCGCCAGGCGGAGTGGAACCTTCCCGTGCGGCCACTCTTCATCTCCGAGGAGCGGCCCTGCCCGCCCGTGGCCACGCCGGTGGCCCTGCCCACGCACCACAGCTTGGCCACCTGCACCTTCAACACCCTCTCCCCCGTCAGCTACAAGGAGATCCCCTCAGTGGCCCAGGCCAAGCTGGTCACCGTCAAGTCCTCGCGGGCTCAGAGCAAAAGGAAGGCTCCCACGCTCACCTTGCTGAAAGGCTTCAAGATATTTTAGGACACATCCCTGTGGGCTGCAGAGAGGGAGGAGAGAGACCCTCATCTGTCCCCCCAGCTCCACAGAAGCTGGGACCTTCCATGATGGATTCACAGGCACTGCAGCAGCTGCTGGCAGATGGTGGCCCCGGTCTCTGTGCCGGGGCAAAGCCAGCAGTGGCAACTTGGCGAGGAGGCAGAGTGCCAAGGGTCTGACACGGGCTGTGGCATCGCTCTGCCTGCCCCTGCCCGGGGCTGCTGTGGTGTTTGCACCCTGTTCTGCCACTGCCGCTGGGGCCAGCCCAGTTTTCTGTGAGGATGCAGCAGCTCCCAGAGGAGGCAGAGCTGTGGATACCATTGGCAGGGGAAGGGCCAACCCCATGGCCACAGCCAGCTTGGACACCTGGCCCACAACTACAGGAGCCCAGGAATGGGGAACTAATCATTAATCCAGCATGGAGGCACCCATCTCATTCATCCCACAGGTCCCCGACTAAGCAATAAGTAGGAGGAATTTTTATTTTTTTTTAAATCCAGATAAAAAAGGTGCAGATACTGTTTCAGCTGCTTAAAGGCCTCAGGTGACCTGAAATTGATACCTACACATCAACCTAAGTCACACCAAAATTGCTGCTTTTTTGCTCAACTTTTTACACTATAGCATCCCTTTCCAAAGGCTTTGCAAAGAGATGATTTGCTGACAAGGACATGGTCTGCAAAGCCTGTGTTTAAAAGATTGATGCATTTCCAATAATGTCTTAAATTATTTCATGGCTTCTACGTGTGCCCAGTGAAGGACACAAAGGAAATCCTGGAGCAGACCAGGCTCTACCTGTGCCCCAGCCAGCATCAAGGGCTGGATGTTTGGTTTCAGGTGCTCCATCAGATTAAATGTTCTGCTTCTCCCTGGAGTTGCAGTTACTTTGCAGAGTAAAATATCTATGTGTATATTTGTACATATATATATACAAATATATATATATATGACCTTACTGACAGAGAGATGCAATATGGCATTTTGATCAACCACTTTGGAAAGTATTTTAATAAAGAGGATTCTGAAAAGAATAAAAATGTCTCAGCTTCAGTGTTGCTGTTTTCCTGAGGGGAAGTGAGGGTACTTTCCCTGGCTGACTTCAGGCCAAGCTTCCCCACTTACTTCCCTGGCTCAGGTCAAACCTGTTTGCAGCACTTGAGAGAGGAGATGAAGCTGGCACTGGAGGGAAGGCTGGAAGCAGCCAGAGCAGGGGGGGAACACCAGCCAGGCAGGAGCTGAGCCCAGGGCCCCTCCTGCAGATGCAACTCTGCTGCTTTCTTGTTTCACACTTTTCTTTCTCCAGGCTAAACTGCATTTTTCAACTTGCACCCCTATGAATTGAGACATTCCAATACCTTCCTTAAGGCCTAAATGGGCTGACTCCAGCTGTCACTATATGGCCTCCTCAGACATCCCTCTGTACAGAGATGTGACAGTCCCGTCCTTCCACTGGACCATCACATCCCCTGATCTCTGGTCCTGGGGTCCTGGCTGCTGCTTCAGTGGCTCAGCCAGGCTGTATTCCTGCACAGGCATCAGGGCTTGCTTGGCATCGAGGTCAGCCTCCTGTGTGGTTTGTGCTGCTTCTCTGTTCACGAGGATCTTCCTTTTCCTGCAGGGAAGGCACAACAAGGACACACTGAGAGTGAAGCAGCAAGCCCAGCCCACGTCTGAGGGCACCAACCCTGGTGAGGGTCACAGCCATCAATTTACACCGTGTTCCTGGAACACGCTGCCAGCTGCTTGTGGGCAAACACAGGTGAGCTGTGCCAGGTAAGTGCTCTGAAGTGTTTGAGCACGCACAGCTGTGGGATTCCCACTTGGAGAGCACCCAGCTCCTGACGCCAGGAGCAGCACACAGCGAGCTCTCACTAGAGGGAGAGCGAGGCAGGCTCGCAGCGTTAGCTCTTCTCTGGTCTGAAGAGGCAGCTCTGACACAGTTCTGTTTTTGTGCCCTGGCAAACAGCGAGCTGCTCCTCAGCTGCGGGGTTGTGCAGCAACCGGGGAACTGTGTGGGGATGTGGAAGGGGAAAGGCTGGGAGTCCTGCTCCAGAGCCCCTGTACTTAGGAGAGAGCACCTCACACCACAGCTACCATCACTTCCCTCCCAGCAGCCCTGTGCAGACCTTTATTCGATCGCAGACCTTTATTTGATCAAAGTGACACAAAAGTGAGCAGGCATCAGGCAAGGTTTTATAACAAAAAATGGTTCAAAGGGAGTTTGTTCTTCTTTGCTCTTCTCCCCATCACTCAGGGCTTGTCCTGCCCTGCCAAACCTGTGTGTCTGTTTGCCTGGGAGGCTTTCAGGGCATCACCACCCACCAAAAGATTCTCAAATTTTCCCGTCTCACCTGTTTCGCACAATGTTAATGGTCAGAAGAACAAGACCCAAAATCATGGTCGCGAGGGACAGCGCAAGAACGGAGTAATTCCATGTTGAGGCTGAGGGAAAGCAGAGAGGCAGTGTTAGCAGGCACAGCACAGTGTGACCCATTGAGCCTGGCCAGGGGTTTTCTGAGGACACCCAAGATGCTCTGTCCTTGATTTTTGTGGCTTTGAAGTTGATCCCCATGACGCTGACCTGCTGCTATGTCAATCTGCTCCTTCCACCCTGCCAAAATCCAAAGAGACCTTTGCTCTCTTGGCAGGCTCTGCCTGGAAAGAGGCTGAACTCTGGAGACATTACCTCAGCAAAGCCTCCTGACTGTCTTCACCTATGGCCTGCTTATTCCAGAGGCAAGACTGAGGGTTTGTGTGGCTGGGGTTAATACCACTATCCTCTTCAGGGTAGTGCCCTCAGGCATCTCTGTTAGGCAAGAAAGTTAACAGCCAAGGACTGGGTCTCAGCCCAGGAACACCGATGGGACTTACGGTCTTCTCTGCGGAAGAACCAGAGCAGCTCCTCCAGCTGTTCCAGTTCCAAACCCAGTGGAAGGGTAACATTGCCTGCTGTGTGCTCGTCCACGCGTGTGCTGGCCAGGGTGGTTGGGAGGTACTTGTGCTCTGCCTCAGCTGTGGTGGAAAGAGAAAGATGCAATAGTCACTCACTGCAGCCCTTCAGACTGGAGGTGACCTTCCCCTTCACTCCCAGGGTTGCCCAGTGGAGAGTGTTTTTGGCTGCAGACCCCATTATGGTGAGGCAGCAGGGTTGCAAAGACTCCTGAATGCTGATAGGGCCTTCCTACATTCCCCACCTCCCACCACGGAGAGGCAGCTCCGTGTGCCACAATTCACCAAAGAGTTGCCTTGCCAAGACCAGTCCTGGAAATCTGACTCTGGACTGCAGTCCTCCAGCAAGAAATTCTTATTTATCAGGCTAGCTTGTATACACAGCTTGACTTTAGCATTTTTTATCATAAAAGCTTCAGTGTCTCTGCAAAGAAGCCAACATTTAAGTGTGGCCAACCCCAAGCACAGAATATACACACAGAATACAGATGGAAATGACACCCAGTTCTGGAACTGGGGTGCAACGTTTTCCTTGGCTCAGCCAGGTTGCTGTTGGTATATACTGAGGAAAATAGCCACACAGAAAGAAAGAAACTGTATTTCCAGGAGGTTAAGGTTTTTGCACATGTAACCTACATCACCCACACCATTATCCTTTAAGCCAAGACTACCTTGCAGCAGGAAAAATGGGATTATCCAGAAGAACTTCATATTTCTATATGCAGATGGGATGGATCACACCTTCACAGTATTTCTTCAGCGTGGAGATGACTGCAAAGACAGAGAAACTAAGGAGTTGAGAGAAAAACTGACTCCCCTCCCTACTCCAGCTCTCTTCAGAGAGGGGATCTCATGTACCTCAGCATCTGTTTGCTCCTGAGAATGTGAGTCTGACCTGCCAGGACAGGGTGCAGAAATCCCTGGACCACCAAGGTGACAGCAGAGGGGGTCTGGCACAGCATCTGCTGCCCGGGTTGGACCCCTTGCCAAGGTGAACCTGTACAGATGTGAGCTCAGCTGCTGTGAGCCAGCCCCTCCCCACCTAACAAAGCTTCCCTGCTTGCTCCCCTGCCATAATCCCTAGAGAACATATACTTTGCATGTGACTACCTATTGCCAACCCATGGATGGCAGAATATGGGTGTGGAGATGAGGAAGTGGAAGGCTGAGCTCCAAGAGGAGGCAAGGCTGGCTTGCCATTGAGGCTACGGTGTCTCCCATCCCTCAGGGAAACAGAAACTCCTCCTTGACCTTTAGTCCCTCATTTATTAATGGTATCAATCCAACTTTTATGGCTGCTTGTCCAAGTTAGCCCTGAGCACGAGTTCCTGGCTGTCCACTGTGAGGTGGTGAGATGTTGAGGTGGCTCTTCCCAGCCCACTGCTCACTGGCCATCACCCACTGGCAGGTCAGCGACACCACAACACACATGCATCCCTCAGACATTCTGGCCCCACAGGCCATTAATTATTATATGAAAACTTTTACAACAGTCTGATACTCCCAGCTTTTACCTGCCTTTGCTGTGTGGCCAGGTGCTGTCTGAAACTTGCTCCCAAGCATGGTCCACTGTGCCAGGCGTGTCAACAGCACTGCTGCTGACTCCTCAGGGAAGCATTTGTCCCGTCGGTTATAGACCTAATGATTGCTACTATTTTCCCCCCCATTCTCAATGTCTTCACAATTCAAAGTTCACATTTTATTGCTAACCAGGCATGCAGGCTTACTCCCTGCTGCCAGAAAACCACCTGCTAGCAATTCTTAGAGGAAGGGACTCTCAAGTATGTGGTCCACTTTGTATTTCAGAAAATACGGGTAAAGCTGCTCCCTGCAGTTACGTGTGCCAATTACCCTTCCATCCAGGTAACCTTTAGCTTATTCACATGGATCACCCCTCACAAAGGAGGAAATAAGGCCTTGGGCCAATGAAAATAAGTTACAAGTCAGCTACACCCTAATAAGAAGTGGCACTTGAATGTGTTAAATCTTGCTGTGCAAGGCTTCTGGGTAATCATTTGCTCAAAGAGGAATATTTGACAAGCATGTTGCTGATTTTCCCCTAAGGTGTTTCATAAGCTGTGGGCTACCTCCTGGTGTCTATGCACAGCAGGGATGCTGGAAAGCTGCTGGAACTACTTGGCTAGTTCATCAAGTATTGACCAGCAGCCAAATCTCCCCAGACATTGGAGGCCAGAACTTTGTGGGTAAAACACAGCAGCAGAATGGACCCTTATTGTGCATTAACAGGACATTTAGGTAAAAGACTTTAAGAGACTCTTCTGTTATTTTACAGATCTTTTACATCTAAATCACATTAACAAAATTAGTTTCACTCATCAAAGCTACAAACCAAAGTGTTGTCGGGTCAGTGTGTCTACTCCAGCGGAGTCTGGGAAGAATTCTGCCTAAACCACCAATTCCCCCGGTAAGGAAACAGTGACTCCCACCGTTGGGCTGGACATGCTCTGAGGAGTTTGGATCTTCCAGCCTGGAAGAGATTGTTAAAGGCATCTCCTCCAGCCTCCCACATACAGCTGCTCTGCCCTGGTGCCCAACGTGGGCACACACTGCTCCACTGTCCAGAGCAGCTGGACAGCGTGGGGGATGTTCCTCCCCATTGCTCCCCTGCCTGCACAACTCAGCAGTGACTCTGGGGGCTGATGGACAGGGATGAGCCCTTAGATCCAGGCCTCTGAAACTCCCATGCACTCTGCTCTCCTCTCCCTCTGAAGGCACCCAAGACCCTTTTTAGGTTGCTTCCCAGCTTGGGTACAACAGGGGAAGCTCAAATGAGAGAGAGCTCATGCATTTTCTGCTCGTATGGAAGGAGGCAGAAAGAACAAAGAGGCCAGTGCCTCTCAAGAAACATTTTACCTGTGTTATTTTGAGTTTATATTGACTCCTGAACGTCTTTGTAATTTCTTTCTTCTTGCAAATGGGATTTTACATCAAAAGCTGCAAAATCTGTACAGTATTATGTATTTCAGGAACAAAGAGTCACACAACAATGCTATTTTAAATCCTCCTGTGGATCTGTGGACTTTGCTAGCATTCAATGAAATCTCAAGATATTACAGGAAATGTCAAGGGACTGCTTTTTGCTCTATGCATTGATCCCAGCACTTAAATGGTAAAAACCTTTCTCATAATGGAAGCCCTTGAAGATCTGAGACATATCACATGCAGAAGGCAGAGCTGAGGGACTGGTGCTCTAAAGGTTGGCATAATCCAGCAAGGGAGCTGTGCCATGTGGGAACATAGGGACACACACATCCACAGCTGCACGTGGACTCTTTCAAGCCAGGGCACAGAACGTGGTGCTGTGAATCCACCCTGTGCTTGGCTCTTGTCAGCTCTGATATTCACAGTTGTTCATCAAGACACATTTTGCCCTCATTCTGCAAATGAGAAGTCCTTAGATACGTATTCTACTGGTTTAAGTAAAGATGTGGGGAAATCTTTTGGAAAGACCATCAAGTACAGCTTCTGTTGAGATGATAATGTCCCTCTGGGCTCCATATTCACAACTCACTACATAGTTTGGGACAATGCATTTAGAACACCTCAGTCTTTTTAAATCAGTCTCCTCTTGTCATCCAGATTCCCTCTTTGATGGTTGTCCTATCTTAGCAGATTGCGTTAAAATGGGTCTGTTATTTCAAACACAGTAATAAAGCGGGATGTCCTGTCTTTGGGATTCATAGAGGATATATATACAATGTCACACCACAGACATGCAAATGGATGATATGGTTTATAAAGGTACATTAAGGTCTGAGCACCATTAAGGAACACAAGGAATTGTTTAATATTTAAAATATTAAGGCAAGAAAGTAGTCTGTGCTATTTTTTAACCTCTGTAAAGCAAAAAGCTAAAGAGAAAATCTAAGTTATATTACACATTTTCCTTTGACTGCTTTAATATGCAGGAGTTACCTCAGCCTGCTTCTTACCCGCCACTCAGACAATCTCTCCTTAAAAAGTCTGCCTTCACTTAAAATTTCCAAGGATTCCAGCTTTCTAACTGGAATAAATAAACAAGCCTTTCTTTACAGATAGCTATAAATTAACCCAGCAGCCAGTACAGCAGGAATGCCCCTTAATCTCTGCTAACTCACCAGAAACGTGGAGTTCCCAGCAGGGAGGAAGCTACATTTCTTCTTTAAGCCCTGTCATCCGAAGACATCTCCTCCGAGCAGCGTGGCAATACCAGGCTCCCTGTGCTCCTGCTCTGGGTATGCCACGAGCTGTGATTCACTCTGCTCCTGAGTCATGTGTGAAGGCCAGTTCAACAGGTGAGGTACACTCCAGCCCCTGAAAAAACACACCTCTTTAGTGGGACCATTTACAGCACGAGGTGAATGACCTTTTGCCAAAGAATGAGCTGTAGCAACTTCCAGTTTGTTTGCTCAAGTTATTGGCATAATCAGTATTAAAAGAGCATGCTGAGTAGAATGACACTCAGCAATAAGTTACCCTTCAGTTAAAATAAATGATAATGTTCACTCTGCTTGGCTCAGTCCTCATTGCATACAGGAAACATGTTCTGATAAAGCACATGTAATCCTTTCTCTTTTTTCTTATTTTTTTTTTTCAATGAATGGCCATTCTAAGGCTGTCAGAGCATCTGACCAGAGCAAACAACTTTGCAGGCAAAGCTTGAAGCACCAGTCAGGTTTTGCCATCCCACTTTCACAGGTACTGGTAATGCCTGCCTAAGTCAGTAGTCTGTAAGAGGCTTTGCAGACTGATGTGCTACTTTTTGTGACAGCCACATTGGGAAAGGAGGATTCCTCCCCCCAAACCACCTGATTCATGGATGGAGCTGCTCACTGCAAAGCAAGAGAGATGCATCTCACCAATGGGCTTGGGACACACAGCTAGCTCTGGTTAGCTCCAGCTGAGCTGCAGATGGTAGGTGTAGTATCCGTATGTTTGTCCTGTTCTTGGTGGTTTTCAGCTTGAAATAAAGCGCTCAAGGCCATGTTTGACAGGGCTTGGAGCAATCTGGTCTAGTGGTAGGCATCCCTGCCCTTGGCAAGGGTATTGGAATGAGATGATTTTTATGGTCCCTTCCAACCTAGGCAATCCTAGGATTCTATGATCTTTGGCATTGAAGCTTTGTTCAATGTTAATTGTTAATTGTGATTAATCCTTTGAATCCCATCTCACATCCAGAGTTTCCCTGGGCAGCCCCTGTGAAATATCACCCAGCAGACGTGTGCTCCCCAAACAGAGATGTTTCACTGCTCAGCCTCAGCCTGGCAGCGATCAGATGGGAGCTCAGAAATGCATCCCCCAGGAAACCAGAGCTGCTCCCTGCTGCTGGAGCCGTGTCCAGCCAGGACATCCCACCACATGGTAAATTGTGCTGTCTTTCCTTTTCAATCCCAGCTGGATGCTTTGATGTATATATCCAGGGTCAGGATGCAGGTAGGTGGCTGAGATATGTTTAGGACTCAGCATGACGTACATGGAAATAAAACCAGTTCCCCACTGGTCAGAGCTGGCTCTTGTGCCCAGTAATCCTCTCCTTTTCCAGAGAACCACAAACATGCTCAGGAGTGCTCCTCTCCAGCGAGGGTGTATTTGATTCTGTGTCTCTCCTGACAACACTGGCACCGGTTAATGCGAGATATCTTTACTTCTTGGAGACACTTTCAGCGTCTTTGGCCAGGAAGCAAAGTGGAGATAAGATCTGGTTTCTGTTCTGTTTCCTCCTTGGATTTATCTTCACTATTCTTGGGAAGAATTTGTCTGACCTTGGTGTTTTAATTTTGCTTATCTTTTTTGATCCCTTCAGTGTCTTTGACCTGAAATGCCTGGTTACAGAATAACTAAACATTCAGGGTTGTAGGTTTTTTTTCTTTCCATGTACAAAAGCAGAGTTCAAATGCAGCAGGAAAGCCAGATTTTTTTTTAATTTTTATTTTTGTGAAACAATCAGATAGTTGCTTTCATTCTGAAAAAATTTATATCAAAATAAATCTTCAGTTAAAATTCACGAACACTACGTCAAAGGCATAATAATGAATAACAGCCATAATGTGTTTGAAATGTGCTGTCATAGCAGAGCCAAGGATGAATTACGTGGGAGCAAGTGTACTGGAGGGAATTTAAGTCCACTTCAAAAACTCACTGCAAATGAAACTTTAATCAGTTTGTGCATATGTCTGGCAAAAGCTCAGCGTGGAGTTACAGCATTTCCAGGAGCTTTAACTACAGCCAGAAGTGAGAATCCATCTCTGGCTTAAGTCCTGGAAGAACAGCAGGTGAAACTCAACACACGGTGTCAATGACATGTTCAGTGCCTGGATCTGATACCTGGGAATTAACACTGAGCAGCAGCTGGATTCTGGGTTCAAGCTCACAACTTTTGTGCAATCCAGACATACATGTTCATCCCTGGCCTTTCTGAAGTGGTGGTGACAAATCCAGGGCTTCACCCAAGACCTCAGAGAACTGGTATTTGCGGTCACCACACAGGACATCTCCTTCCAGCCTTTCTTCCAGCAATCGCCCTCACTGCCTCTGGAAACCATGAGTATTTTTCAGCATCTGAGATAAGATGAGGTCAAATTTTTCACCATCTGAGATAAGGCCTGAAATCACACTCTGTGCTGAACAGTGCTCCTCGCATTTGGGGCCTGACAGCCATGAGTGTCTGTAATCACTTAGTAATTGTGCAATGACGAATTGTTCCCTGTTTATGATAAGTCAGACCGTTCACGTTCCCTTCTTTCCAAGCCACCTTCCAACATGAACCATGGTGGGAGCTTTAATCTCTTCTCAAGCACAACCCATTCCTTCATCCTTGCTAGCTTCTTGTTTATATTTTAATTTATTTTTACTACAACCTTTCATTTATGCACTAAGATGAGGTGACCAGAGTTGACGTGTACTGCCTGTGACTAAACAAAGTATTTTCATGGGACTCCCCAGCTAATAGAGAATTGTAAAGTTTTTTGAGCATTTGATTTTTTCATACTGATTAGGAATTTACCTCAGTATTAGGTAGCATATTCTCCTTTTCTCAGGGTGCAGGAATGTAAGCACCCCAGTTAGGATGGTCTGACTTTTTTTATTTTTTTACCTGTAACAGCAATTTTTCATTCTCTTCTCCTTATTACCACCACAGGAGACAATGGCATCTTCAGTGTCTGAGAGAAGAAAACCCTAATGATGGGCAAATAGACATGAAAAAGGAAGGAATATATACAGCACTGCTTAGTGCAGCACAAAATTTCACTTTTTTAATTGATCCTTCCCTAATGTATCCAACATAAAACTCTGCTATCCATTTTCCAAGTAATTTACATATTTCCACAGGCATATAGGATATTTACAGATTCTCACACTCCATGCCGCAGAAATTCCTAGTGTCAAAGATTGTAGGACAGACTGTGATTTAGATGTGCAGGGAATTTGTGTATGTGATTTACATTAAAAACTACACAAATAATCCATCTTCCCATGGGGGGAAAGAATGTACTTAGCAGAATGATAAAATATTTCCATACTTACGTTATGGGAGGAGACAGTTCTTTAAGTGGTGATTCTGACCCCATGGTTTACAAGAAAACATTCTTTGAGTTACTGTCACTGTTAAAACGAAGCTGTCCGTGGAGTCAGAAACTGAACTCTTGTTTTTCAAATGCTGTCAGAGCCAGATCAGTGGCTTTGGGGTCAACGCCCCTTTCAGTCCCTGATGTTTTTCTGCATTATCTTTGCACTGAGGCAGCATGGACAATTCCTGGTCAGGGTGACACCACTCAGCAGCACCGACGCTGTGGGGCTGGAGCCATCGGTAGCACAGACCCTGATGGCTTCCACCACCCCACGCCAAGATCACGGAATTGTTAAGGTTGGAAGGGATCTCTGGAGATCACCCAGTCCAGCCCCCTACCAAGGCAGGGTCATGTGGAGCATGGACACAGCTGGACGTGTCCAGGTGGGTTTGGAACATTTCCAGAGAGGGAGACTCCACACCCTCTCTGGGCAGCTGTCCCAGTGCTCTGCCACACTCAACATAAAGATCTTCGTGGTGAGATGGAACTTCTTGTTTTAATTTATGGATGCTGTTCCTCATCCTGTTGCTGAGACCACCCAAAAGACCCTTGCACTAGCATCTTAGCACGCTGGGAGATATTTTTATGCATTAATGAGATCCCCTGTCAGTCTTCTCCAGGCTAACCCCAATATGAAGGCACTGTGCTCTTGGAGAGTGTCCAAAGGAGGCCACGAGGATGGGGAAGGGTGTGGAAGGGAAGCTGTGTGAGGAGTGATGGGGGCACTTGTTTTGTCCCGCCTGGAAGAGACTGAGAGACCTCACTGTGCTCTTCAACCTCCTCCCGAGGGACAGCAGAGGGGCAGACACTGCTCTCTTCCCTCTCGTGACCAGTGACAGCACCCGAGGGAACGACATAAAGATGAGCCAGGGGAGATTTAGGCTGGATGTCAGGAGAAGGTTTTCAGAGGGTGGCTGGCCACTGGAAGGGGCTCCCCAAGGAATGGTCACGGCCCCAAGGCTGCCAGAGCTCAAGAAGCGTTCGGACAACGCTCTGAGGCACCGGATGGGATTATTGGGGTGTCCTGCGCAGGGCTATAGGTTGGATTCAATGATCCTTTTGGGTGCCTTCCAACTCAGGTTCGCCGATAATTCCATCATTTTATGACTACGGCGGCGCCGCCTCAGCCCTCAGGGCGGCCCCGCCGCCGGGCGGGTCCCGCTGCGTCATCGCCGCGCGCGGCGGCAGCCCCGCGATGCGGGCCCGGGTGCTGCGCGCCGGGCGCGAGGCCGTGAGGGCGGCGGGGCCGCCATGGCGGGTCCTGTTCTTCGGCACCGACCGCTTCGCCGTGAGCACCCTGCGAGCCCTGCGGGCCGCCGGGTACCGCCCGGGCACGGGGCAGAGGGGTCTGAGCGGAGACGGGGCCGGGAGAGAGGGGCAGAGGGGACACGGGAGACGGGGACGTGAGGGAGGAGCCTGAGGGAGGAGATGGACCCTGAGGGGAGCGGAGCCTAAAGGGACACGGCAGGGGCAGGGGAGGGTGAGAGAGGGGTGGGCACCGAGGGATGGGAGATGAGGGCTGGTGATGAGGCTCAGAGGTTATTGAGGGATGAGGTGGAGTCGCGCGGGAGGGACCGTGGGTTGGGCAGGGAGGATGGCAGAGAAGGGAGGGGGAAGGAGCCTGAGCGTGGGACAGGGACCGGGATCATGGAGACTGAGGGAATTGGCACGGGGGCACAGCGAGGGGTGGAGGTGACCCAGCCCTCGCCTCAGTCTGCCTGCACGACGCCTTCAACACGTTGTCCACCCCAGGGAGCCCAGCGAGGAGTCGCTCGTGTCCCGGCTGGAGGTGGTGACCCTGCCCTCCCGGCTGCCCAGGGACCTGCCCGTCAGGAGCTGCGCCAGGGAGCTCCAGCTGCCCGTGCACGAGTGGCCGCACACGGGACCCGTGGGGCAGTTTGATGTGGGTGTGGTGGCATCTTTTGGACGTCTTCTAAGCGAGGAGCTCATTCTGCAGTTCCCATAGTAAGTGTGTGGACAGGACATCTGTCACTGCTTTGTTGGCAAAGCTGCACTCTCGTTTTGGGGCAGCATCTGTGACTTGCAGTAGGTGAGGTCAGCTTGCCTGGGTTGATATGCTTAGCCTGAGCCTTATTGCTGTCATGGTGAAATTCGGTGTTCTTTGACACATGGGTGTAAATTTACGCAAATATCCAGCAGAATGTTTGCCTTTATTCCTCACATCTCTTTCTGTGTTCGCTGAGAAACTGAGAAGTTTATATAGTGTGAATTTTCCTTCAAGTGCATATTTAAGCCAGTAACACATGAGAAGGTTTGAGCAGATAGTAATTTCACGAAATCTGTGTTGCACTCCATTTATGTACGTTTCCACACATTTTA